ATCCTGTCATAAACTATACACACAGTGTATCCTGTCATAAACTATACAAACAGTGTATCCTGTCATAAACTATACAAACAGTGTATCCTGTCATAAACTATACAAACAGTGTGTCCTGTCATAAACTATACAAACCCTGTATCCTGTCATAAACTATACAAACAGTGTATCCTGTCATAAACTATACAAAAAGTGTATCCTGTCATAAACTTTACAAACAGTGTATCCTATCATAAACTATACAAACAGTGTATCCTGTCATAAACTATACAAACAGTGTATCCTGTCATAAACTATACAAACCCTGTATCCTGTCATAAACTATACAAACCCTGTATCCTGTCATAAACTATACAAACAGTGTATCCTGTCATAAACTATACAAACCCTGTATCCTGTCATAAACTATACAAACCCTGTATCCTGTCATAAACTATACAAACCCTGTATCCTGTCATAAACTATACAAACCCTGTATCCTGTCATAAACTATACAAAAAGTGTATCCTGTCATAAACTTTACAAACAGTGTATCCTATCATAAACTATACAAACAGTGTATCCTGTCATAAACTATACAAACAGTGTATCCTGTCATAAACTATACAAAAAGTGTATCCTGTCATAAACTTTACAAACAGTGTATCCTATCATAAACTATACAAACAGTGTATCCTGTCATAAACTATACAAACAGTGTATCCTGTCATAAACTATACAAACCCTGTATCCTGTCATAAACTATACAAACCCTGTATCCTGTCATAAACTATACAAACCCTGTATCCTGTCATAAACTATACAAACAGTGTATCCTGTCATAAACTATACAAACATTGTATCCTGTCATAAACTATACAAACCCTGTATCCTGTCATAAACTATGCAAACCCTGTATCCTGTTATAAACTATACAAACCCTGTATCCTGTCATAAACTATACAAACCCTGTATCCTGTCATAAACTATGCAAACCCTGTATCCTGTCATAAACTATACAAACCCTGTATCCTGTCATAAACTATACAAACAGTGTATCCTGTCCTAAACTATGTAAACCGTGTATACTATACATCTTACATGCATTGTGGTTATGGAGTCGGATTCTTTTTCCGGAGTCAGAAAATGTTGGTATGACTCTTCTTCTCTGATTCCTAGCCGTATAAATGTTTGTATGACTCTTCTTCTCTGATTCCTACCCGTATAAATGTTTGTATGACTCTTCTTCTCTGATTCCTACCCGTATAAATGTTGATCCAAAGAGAGAGAGAGAAGAGGCTTCAAAACCCTAACAAGTGGTAGCATCAGGGGCGTACCACAATGGGGGGCTGGGCCAAAACACTCCGAGACCAGTTTCCAAGACCATACACACAATACCATGATGATACCACCTTGAAGCTAGTTAGCTACCACTTGTTCACACTTGAAGCTAGTTAGCTTCCACTTGTTCACACTTGAAGCTAGTTAGCTACCACTTGTTCACACTTGAAGCTAGTTAGCTACCACATGTTCACACTTGAAGCTAGTTAGCTACCACTTGTTCACATTTGAAGCTAGTTAGCTACCACTTGTTCACACTTGAAGCTAGTTAGCTACCACTTGTTCACACTTGAAGCTAGTCAGCTACCACTTGTTCACACTTCAAGCTAGTTAGCTGCCACTTGTTCATACAATAATATTGTGGTTTTGTTGCTTATCTATGCAAGATTTCAAAAACATGTTTTTCACATTTGTACACGGTTCTCTCTCTTTCTCTCCCTCTCTCTTTCTCTTCCTCTCTCTTGCTCTACCTCTCTCTTTCTCTCACTCTCTCTTTCTCCCCATCTCTCTGTCTCTTCCACTCTCTCTTTCTCTCTCTCTCCCCTCCCCCCCCCCTCTCTCTCCATATTGTTTCGTCAGTTGACAGCGCTACTTTAAGAATACACATGATATAATTAAAATAAAACTAAATTTTTATACATTTTAGGGACATTAATTATAACACTCAGTGAGAACGGCTGCCTTATGATCAGGATAGAATTAATGTATTCTTTAAAAAAAAAACACGTCATGCAAGAATGTGTATCATGAATATGATCTCAATTCTTACAATAAATAAATTACAATAAAGTAAGCCTCTAGTTAGACACTTACTTGACAATCGAGGCACGAGAACACACCTGATTTCAAACCACTCACAACAATTTTGGAAGAGGTCACAAATTATGTCGTATGATACTTTTCTCAAATTTAAAAAAAAAACGTATATTTTAATCCAGCAAACAACTCCTCTCAGGTGAACACAGCCCAGTCATATCTTACCAGCAACCACACGGGGCGGGCGGGCGGGGGCTGTTTCCACTTGGGGGAATTTGATTTCTCAGTAAGAATCGAACGTTTCCAGTGGAATAATTCATGTATTTACTTTTGTTTGTGTGTGTCTCTGTGTGTGTGTGTGTGTCTCTCTCTCTCTGTGTGTGTGTGTGTGTGTGTGTCGCGATCAGAGGGGCTGAAGCGTAAAAATTGTTATTGTGTGTTTATGTGTGTATGTGTGTGTTACATCTGTGAACCAGTTCATGGACATTTATTTTTTTAAAAAATGTTGTTCGCCCTATTCCCAACAGAATGAAGTTGTTCTATTGTTGCTGAGTCTAAATAGTTCAATGACTCATTAGACAGAACATGATGAGAGTCATATGGGGTCACAGCATCACTTGAGTAGAGTCACATGTAGTTACAGCATCTTTTGAGTAGAGTCCCATGTAGAGAGTTTCTAACATTTGGGAGCCTGTCCTGTGCCTAGCGGTAGGAACCACTCAGTGAAACATTTGGGAGCCTGTCATGTGTCTAGCCATAGGAACCACTCAGTGAAACATTTGTGAGCCTGTCCTGTGCCTAGCCGTAGGAACTACTCAGTGAAACATTTGGGACCCTGTCCTGTGCCTAGCTTTAGGAACCACTCAGTGAAGCATTTGGGACCCTGTCATGATTACACACCTAGATTTTCATATGACTCTTCCAACCGATAGCTTGGTTTTGCTAAAGAGGTGACCATTGTCTGTATAACCCAGAACCCATTATCCAGCTATTGCACAAAAAGTATGCCACGAACCTATGTGCAGAGACTTTGTGTCCAGTTTTCGAGTGTCATCTGATCCTCTTGTCTAACAACTATCAGTGCCCGTCAGTGGCTGTCCATGCTAAGTGACTGTGCCAAAAGACTAATATATCCAGTGACTGTATTTGAGGCGACAGATAATAGGATTCATCAAACCGCTTTCAATTCTCCAAATCGCCCACCACGGCAGCTCCTCCCTTCGATGTAAATGAACCCTGATGCTGTGAGAGTATAGTTTTACACTGCAACATATAAAGAGACCAGCCTAGCCGGCCTTAGGTAAACTTTTGCCCTGTGCGAAGCACCCGTTCGGCGCCCCATTCCCTGTCCTTGTGTGATCCATGAGTGCGCTTTTTCTGCTTCGCGCTTGCGATTTTGGGCCCCGGAAAGTTTTTTGTTCCCCATATTCTTTCAGCTGAAATAATTGTAAGAGGGGCAAGGAAATACGGTATTAATATATTAATTTCCTTTCGGTTGTTCCCAGCCCCAGTGCTAGTATCCAAATTAAGAATGTAACTTTCATTGAATGGAGACCCATTGGTTGTGAAAAGCGATTGTACCAAAAGTTAGAATACCGTATCTCGACCCCGGACCCGAGATTCACACTTCACAATAATAAACGAATGGAATTTAAATATCTACTGGGCGCCCAAGGCGCGCATATCGCCACGGCGCCCTGTGCGAGGGCACAGGTCGCATACCTTAAAGGCTGGCGTTGAGATGAGACTATCGTGGCAGACATACTGTCTCGATTAGCTTAAGAATATTCTCCTTCAGATAAAGCCTGCAGTGTAATTAGCCTGTCGGCTCGTTTAGACCACTCAGGATTGAAGTAAAAAGGGGGATACATTATAAATAAAATTGTATTCAATATTTTACAAACATTGGGAAGTGGTGGCACATCGTTCTCATGATTGGCAATACAAATGTTGGATTGGATTACCTTGGGCGGTATTAAATGTATCATGTACATTAAATGTATTATTTCAAGGTGTTTAAATGTATTATTCACTGTCTGCTTTTTAACGCGTGAACCACGAAGGGATCTAAAGTTCATTGTTTAACATTTTGTTGTTTGCTTAAAGGAAAAGAAATAAAAAGACTTTCTATTTTAAATATGTTTGAACATATAATATGTCTATGTCTTCTAATTGGGATGGATCGTATGTATGATATTTAGGTTTATGAAATAACCTGTCATTAGCAGTGTGTCTAGACACTATACTTTCATGCCTGAGATGGTGATTCAATAAAAGGGGTACCTGGTACCGGTTCTCCAAGACAGTGGACAGGGGGGGGGGGGGGGGGGGGGAATTGCCAGTCCCCTAAGGTGGGAACAGGTGGAGAGCATTTTTAAAATATAATTTAATGTAAATGTATGACTCTTACTCTAGGTTTAAATAGTTGGGATGGCTCAGAGTTTGAGTTACCGATAATTCAACGTTGTGAGAACGTGTGAGAATTTGTGAATATATATTTTGCTTCATATGTGTAGTGTGACTTGTAAATGGTTGTGAAAAGATTGTGATATTTAATTAAGTTATTTTTAAAAATGTACATCTTTTAATAAGGATTTTACTATTTGTAAGCTATGTCAATGAAACAGGAGTGGGGGAGGGGGAGGACTGTTCTGAGCTGAATTTGTGGGCGTGACTTGTGTCTGCATGGAATAGTTGTTGATCATGAGTTGGTGAGTGGTTTTGTGAGGGCGAGTTGTAGTTGACCGGTTTATGCAAGGCCAATCAACAACTGGGCTGTTTAAAGCCTATGTGAATATGCGGGGATGGTTAGTTCGTGGAGTTATTAGAGTTATAGTTAGTATGGTGAGTTGGTGTTAGGGTGGTTAGTGTGTTAAGGTGTTGGTGTGTTAAGGTGTCAGTGTGTTCATTTCTGTTGAGCTGTAGTGTTGCGAGCTCGCAGACGACATTGACTTTATTTCAGAGAGTGACTGGAGTGTTAGTCCTTAGAGATTTTAATGATCCTCAAGCTGTTGTTATGCAATATGTTTCTTGGATCTTTGTTTAATGTGCACTTCGTGAAGAAAGGAGAAGAAAATCGTACAGTGCGCCAAGGTTGTAATAATTAGGAAACATTGTGTGGCAGATAGGAAAGAAAAAATGAAATTACAATTTGGAAACATCATTGATCCTCAAAAACGATGGTTCATTTGGCCGACGCTGATACTGAACTCTAACCCCCCCCACGAAAAACTATGCACAGTCGGTCAAAAATGTCCCGCTTACATATAGGCCGCTCCATAAAAAGAAAAGGAGGGTTGGACGGCCCCGTCTGCACCCTCTGCCTACGCCACTTGTTTCAGTTACATATTAATTTGGATAATTCTCAACTTAGTTGTTGGTTGATCCGATGTAAACTGTAAACAAACACAATTAAAACGTACGAACATTTAAATTTAGGCTAACTTAATAAAATTGATATTTTCACCTTTTCCACCTCAAATTTTACCAGTCCCCAACAAGTGTATGGCTCATTTTAAAAAATAATAGTTTTAAAACACAATTTTTACAAAAGCATTGTCAATTCATGTCAATTGGTTCAAGAGCTGCTATGGTTAGGAAAGTATTAGAAAATGTACATTTTAAAAAAGTGAATTATTAGGAAGTCAGATGGCGCTGCTGGAAATTATGGACATGACCTTTGAACCTTTTGTTATGGTCCTTGTGAAAGTGCAGCGTAATAGTAGGTGTGTTTAGTGCTTAGACTTAGAAGTTACCACATTTTAAATAATTGTAATTGTAACTGATATAAATTTACGAAAGGGTTTGCGTAAATTGACCGGGTTATTTTAAAATTTAAACAGTAAGTTTTGAAAGAGAACATTTTGATTTAATACTATGACTATAATACTACTAATGTAAATAATTGTAAGTCGGACGGACGTAAGTGTACGACCGTGTGTACACTACCCGGAACCCGACACTGCTACTTAGTACTACTACTACCACTACTAACCTTAACTACTATTTATTTATAATTTACCACTGCTATAACCAGGCTAGGTATTAGTAGTGCAGTAGTAAAGTAGCTACTAATTATAGCACTACACCTAAACTTACTCTTGATAACAATTAGTTCAGTTAGGCTTAAGGCTTAGTTTAAGGGCTACTGTCACTACTGAGCCTACCCCCGGCATTACAAATTTACAATGACAATACATTTAATACATATTTTCGTGCCTGGTATTTACAAGTCAGGTCATGTCAGTCCAAAGCAAAGAAATGGTGGCTGCTAATTCTTCTTCTTCTAAATCTTAAGGGCACACGATCAATTTATTGATCATTTTGGCTCCTACTCCTATGCATGTAGATGGGATTTGCAATGTTTCTGTTCCTGGTGTTGATGAGGAAATTTCACTGATTTCTAGTGCCACTAGTGCCACCTTGTTAGGGAATCATGCACTAGGGGTTTGAAGGCTTAAGGCAATAGACACAAATGTGTCAGGTGTTGTGGCTTCAACCGTTCCTTTTGAAAGATTGTTCCAGTCCCTGATTGTTTTGGGCAGGAATGAGCAGCTCCTATACTTGCTTCTTGCTGGTATGAGTCTGAATTGCCTGTCATGGCCTCGTCACTGTCTATGGGGGAGAGGGACGAGTTTCTGTTTAATACTGGAACAGTGGACCAGCCCATTATTTATCTTAATCATGGAGAACCTGGATTGTCGTCGTTGTTCCTCCAATGCCAATGGTGACCAGCCTAGTGTTTCCAGCATGCTGCCAACACTAGAGGTATTCCTGTAGCGGTTTAGGACAAAGTGTGCTGCTGGTCGCTGGACCACCTCCAACCTGTCAACGCTCTTCTGGGTAAATGGGTCCCAGACTGAAGATGCATAATCTAAAACCGGACGGACAAAGGCTTTATATGCTCTCTCTTTTACACAGGAGTTGCCAATCTTTAGATTTCGCCTTAAGAACCCTTGGGTCTTGTTTGCTTGGTTACATACATTAATATGCTCGTCCCAGCGGACCTCTCTTTGAATGGTAACACCCAGGTACTTTACGGAGGAAACTGGCTCAAGTATATGGCTGTGCAGTTCGTATTGGTAATGTAGAGGAGTACAACTTCTAGAGACTGATAGTGTCTGGCACTTGGCAGGGTGAAATTCCATGTCCCAGCTCATCTCCCACTCAGCTAACAGATTGAGATCCTGTTGTCGCTGGTCCTGGCACAGCTACTAATAAATTATAAATACTACTACTACTTTAAAATAGTATTTTTATTTTGTTTTAGCCTAGGTCTAGGCTACTAATAATTTTTATTTTCTGTATAAATTACTACTTACTGAATTTACTGCACTGGTAGTAGTAGTAATAATTAGTAGCCTAAATGTTTTCCACACACAGCCTACACTATTTTTTAGTTTTTAGGCTTAGGACTATTAACTAGTACTAATACTAATACTACTAATTTGTACTATTAGTAAGTACTAAACTTAGTAAGTACTTGACTTAGACTTTGGTAAAATATCGTCCTATCATTTTAGTTACATTGACTGACTTTTGCTTGCAATATCAGAATCTGGACTGGTAAAATTGTTTTTAATAAGTTATAGTAAGTTATGTAAGCAACAACGTCAGTCCCTTGATTTACTGCTTAAGCTCAAAACGTCTAGAGCAGTGGTTCTTAACCTTGTTGGAGGTACTGAACCCAACCAGTTTCATATGTGCATTCACCGAACCCTTCTTATTAGGAAAAATAAAATATCTGTATTTTTTCTGATTTTTTTGTGACTTCCACCGAACCCCTGAGACTGACTCATTGGATCGAACCCAGGTTAAAAACCACTGGTCTAGAGATACAAAAGTTTTCCAAATTTCTCACATGCATAAAAAAAAAGTTGCCTCTGCCTACCTTTGCCAACAAGGATTATTCACTCTGACTCTGATGAAAATAAAGACAATGAAGAAAATCATTTAACTTCAAAGGCAGTAGCCTAATTTTGGTTGATTAAAAAAATCCTCAAGTTTGATGTCATTGTGTCAAAATGAAACATCATTTCTAAAAAATTTGTAGTGAACATTTTTTTCAAATGAATTCTCTTGTTCCATAATTAAAATTTATTTTATCAAATTTATTTTGCACTTTTATATTATGATAATGTATTCTTAGATTAAATAAACGATTTTTAATTTAAATATTGATTTTCTTCCTTTCAAATTTGGGGGTAACATCAGCTTTAACAAAATATATTTTGGGGGTAGTGGCTAAAGAAGTTCGCAGTTGAGAGTACTTCATTAAAGAAACTGAAGCCTAATGCCATTTTTACAATAGCAGACTACTCTTTAAGTTTTAAGTTAGAGTAAGACTAAAGTTAAAGGTTAAGTATTTACTATTTCAAATAAGATTTAATGAATTTGTAACTATCCCAAAATTAAAAAAAGCTTGTAAATATTTGCTGCAATGCTAATAGGCTTTTAACTTTGTTTTTAAAAAGTTTAATGTGAACTTTTTAATATAACAATTATATATTCAACCAAATTTGGCTTTTGTTAAAACTTCTTTAATACTAAATTCATAAGATAGTTGTTTATATTGGTATTACATAATTTCTCAAACAACTTGCTGAAGGTATACATCTATAAAACTAAGGAATAATATCTATAATCTCTCTACAGAGTGAACAGTAACATCTGGGAGTTCACAGATTCAAAGTAATTTTTGTTACAGCAAGCCTTCAGAATGGGAGACTATGAACAGGTAACTCTTCATATTTTATCTTTAATTGTTGGGCTGAATGACATTGGTTATTTCATCATTTTGAATTGTAATATTGTGACAGAAAGAGGTGAAAAACAATATAAAGGATGCCAACGACAACAAAGAGCGCTAAAGTGTTGGTCAGAATTGTTAGCAGTGTAAGAAAGTATTTTTGGAAAATCACGATTTAATATTGTCTGAGTGATTTGTGTATGCAATATTGTCATGAAAATTTCCAGAAATTAGTAAGTTTATTTAAAATGAGTATAATCATTTTGACAATTTTAGTAGATGACCTCCCCGGTTCTCCGGTTGACAAGTCTGTGGTGGCTTGTCGAGTAGGAGGTGTCGGCCACCGACCCCCTCGGCGTTACACGGGGGACAAAACTACTGGGCACGTCCTGCGTGGGCAGACAAGGCATGTGCTCGGTACCTGCCGTACATAAAACAGCTCCTACAGGGCTACCAGTTGTGATACTACCCAACTGGGAAGATAGGCAGAGACAGGGTAGGGATCATGATTACAAGTTGCCGTTAATGGATATGAGGCGAGAGGCGAAGGTGGTAACCTCCGGCCGATGATTCTTACTACGCAGCCCTGAGAAGCTGCTCCAAGGCAACCGTTTCATCCCAGCTATATCGCGAATTAGTTGCGTTGTGGAAACCCACTGTAGAATCCCTCTTATAGGGCCTCTAATGCTTACCCGGGATGGGTGGGGGAAGATATTAGAACGTAAATTTTTCCTTCCCGACTCCTGAGAAAGTCGATCGTGTGCACTGTGTGCAAACACAATGTCAGACCGACCGGGTGTCTTTGGGTTAGGACGGCCCCCGGCGGAGACCCTGGTCGAGTAGACTCGGGTGGGGTTGTCTTGATAAAGGGACATCCCTGACGTGCCGCTCCGCGGCCCGATACCGGGTTGGAGAGGTGTGTTTTGTGGAGGGCATAAAGAGCGCAAGCTCGACGGCCCGCTGATGCCATTTCTTAATGTAACATTTCAGAAGATGAATATTTTAGATTAGAATAAATGCATGTGTTGAGTTCATCCAGAATAAGAACTTCTACAAGTGGTAAAACAAAGAAAATAGCGGAACAAGGTATTTTGAAGCTGTTTTCTATTTCTTGTTGTTTTGTCTTGTTTGCTGAAGAAGGTGCTTAGCCGAAAAGTCTTGTTAATGAAATATTGACCCATCTTTTCATTTCAAGCTTCAACATACCTTGTTCCACTACTTTCTTCGCACAGCTTGAATGCAATCATTTATAGTCCTTAAAACTAATGAATTTACATTTTCACATGACTTCAACTCCTGAAGAAAAGATACTTTATTCAAAATGTAGAAGTGGTCAGCAGCCAGCCAATCTGGTTAAAAATTTGTCACTCCATAAGCAAGCTAATGTCTATTATAAAACTGTTATTTATCACAGGTTGTCAAAGACCTCAGAGCGTCGTATGCTACTGGGAAAACCCGAAGTTTACAGTGGCGAGTTGCCCAGCTGAAAGCCATCATTAAGCTTTTTGAGGAAAATGAATCTGCCATCTTTGAGGCTCTGTTCAAAGATTTGCACAAAGTAAGTTCAAAGTGAGTTTTTTTGTTGAGGGTAAGCTAAACAGTGATCACTTGTTTGAGGGTTCCTTGAAAGGTGATTAGGTCATTGCAGAGTGGGGCCAGTTGAAAGGTCACAAATGGTGGAAATAATTAGATATGCAAAGAAAAAAAGTTACCAGTTATAAATCCCATTCCTCAGATTTCCAAATGTTTGCACATTTTTTATTTTTTCGACTTGGCATATTCTAAACCCAAATAATAATCTTGATATTCTAAACCCAAATAATAATCTTGATATTCTAAACCCAAATAATAATCTTGAAGGAAGGTAAATTAACTTCAAATTTTGAGCATCACTTAACTTTTTGATGATTACAACACTTTCCATCACTTAGAACAAGGCTGAGGCGGCCATAATGGAGACCATGCTCTGTGTCAATGATGCCGTCAATGCCATCAACAATTTAAATGACTGGACCAAGCCAGAGAAAGTGAGTTTAAAGTGCTAGCTTTTCTAATTTTTATAAGTTTTTATTTTCTTCTCTTAACTTTGAAAATATAACTCAAAAGAAGCTTTTCTCAATCATTTTTCTTGTTCCTCGTGACCCACTTATTAAACATTTAATTTATCTCTGTAGCCCACTTAAAACATTTTTTTATATCTCTGTGGCCCACTTTAATTTATAATTTCATTTATCTCAGTGGCCATATTCCCAGTTATTAAAATCCAAAACTTTTTTTTTTTATTGAAATAAAATCCTTTTTTTTTGGCTCTCCCCACCAATGCATTTCCCCTGTGGCTTACATTGAGAATCACTGCCTACAGCATATGCACCGTGGTTTTTTGTTTTCTACGATTGCTTAGGTGACACAGTTTTTGTTACTGGGGGACGGCACATAAATCGATCTGAATGGAAAGGATGTGGTGGTGCAGGCCAGGGCTGTACCGCCACTGATGGTGGTGATGAAAACTCTGTCATGAGTTTTGGTAGAAATTTCTTTAATAGAGTTATAGTAGAATTCATCTTTACGCCATCTCTGGTACACAAGATTTTAATCCATGAACCAGATATTGCCTTCTCGCCCCTTGTTTAAACTGTGCTATCTAGTGGCTGCTTCAGAATCATCTTTTCATTATGTAAAATATTGTATTTTCGTTTGTTAGGTAGCAAAGGGGGCCATATATATGATGGACAATGCTTACATCATGAAGGAACCCCTGGGGGTCACACTGATCATTGGTGCCTGGAACTACCCTGTCCAGCTGACCATATTGCCTCTCATAGGGGCCATAGCAGCAGGTTAGTGCATGACATAGCTAGACAGTCTCTCATAGGGGCCATAGCAGCAGGTTAGTGAATGACATAGCTAGACAGTCTCTCATAGGGGCTATAGCAGCAGGTTAGTGCATGACATAGCTAGACAGTCTTTCATAGGGGCCATGGCAGCAGGTTAGTACATGACATAGCTAGACAGTCTTTCATTGGGGCCACAGCAACAGGTTAGTGCATGACATAGCTAGACAGTCTGTCATAGGGGCCACAGCAGCAGGTCAGTGCATGACATAGCTAGAGAGTCTCTCATAGGGGCCATAGCAGCAGGTTAGTGCATGACATAACTAGACAGTCTTTTATAGGGGCCATTGCAGCAGGTCAGTGCATGACATAGCTAGACAGTCTTGCATAGGGAACATAGCAGCAGTTCAGTGCATAACATAGCTAGACAGTCTCTCATAGGGGCCATAGCAGCAGGTCAGTGCATGACATAGCTTGACAGTCTCTCATAGGGGCCATAGCAGCAGGTCAGTGCATGACATAGCTAGACAGTCTTTTATAGGGGCCATAGCTTCAAAGTTATTTCTTATGGCTTGTGACGACATGACATTATTAGTTCAGCTGTGATCTAAGATTTTTTTTAGGCCAAACATTAATTTTACTTGTTTGTCTTTAGAAAAGCTTCAGCAACACTTTGTATTTTAACTATTGAATCCAAAAAATTTTGTGTTATCAGGTAATTGTGCTGTCTTAAAACCTTCAGAAATGGCAGAGGAAACAGCCAGATTTCTTGAGGAGGTTGTGCCAAAGTACCTGGACAATGTGAGTCACATATTGATTGGATGTAATCATATTTAGTGAATATAATTGAATTACATTTTTTACTCTACAATATTTTCTGGGCAAGTTTCCGTTTCCTGAATTTTTTTTGTTATTGCTGCATCAAGGATTGCTCAGTCCTCTTCTTTTGAGTGTAATCCGGGGGCACTTAATGGGTCAGGATGCAGTTTCTTTCAGTCTTACTTTCACTTGTCTTGTTGCAGATGAACTGTTTAAAAAGCAGTTTTAACTTGCTGGCTGCTATTCATATAACTAATTTCTAAAATATTTTAAAATATATGCTCACCAATTCAATATTAAAAGTGTTTGAATAGTAACAGAATACTCAAAGCCCTGATACTTTTTTTACTTAAATTTGCATATATCATTGACACAAATTGGCCATTTCTTTGAGAATGCTTTAATAACTCTCAAGTGTCTCATTAATATTCCAATATTTTTTTAATGGTTTGTGAACTTGAGCTTTACCTTGTTAATGTTGTGACTGAGGAAATATTTATGTTGCCAATTTAGCAAGGATATGATGAAAGTCAATGAAAAACATGTTAAAAGCAATAAATCTGCCCCCCCCCACCCTTCAACAGAAAAGCTTTAAAACTGAATCTTCCATGATGCAGTCAGGTGGCTAATGGGGGAAATATATTAGTATGGCATTGCGGGAAAATGAAACAAATGTGTCCTATCTAGCATTACGTGCCGCAAACCCTCCCCCCCACATTATTGAACTGTAAATCAACATACTATCTCAGAGACTAAATACTTCGTTTGTCAATGGGAAACTCTGCTATATGGGGACACAATGTGATGTCTCATAAACATGAGAACTATCTCCTCTCCCCACTCCAATATGTCACTGCCCTCATGTCTTAATCTCAGAGTCCAATCTGTCACTGCCCTCATGTCTTAATCTCAGAGTCCAATCTGTCACTGCCCTCATGTCTTAATCTCAGAGTCCAATCTGTCACTGCCCTCATCTTAGTGAGTCCCATTGTACATGTAATACCAGACAACTCAACTCACTCTTGTGTTACACTCCAGGATTGCGTTCGTGTGATCAATGGAGGTGTCAAAGAAACAACTGCACTCCTGCAAGTCCGTTTTGACCACATTTTCTACACAGGCAACAGTGTCGTGGGCAAGATCGTCATGGAGGCGGCTGCCAAATATCTGACCCCGGTTATTCTTGAACTGGGGGGCAAAAGGTTATTACAAACAAAAATAAGAGGGATCTTATGATAGCAATACTCTTATGATAGCAATACTCTTATGATAGCAATACTCTTATGATAGCAATACTCTTACATTGCTTAAAAAAATGTTTTTACCTCTGATGCACTTAACTGCAGATCCCCAGTCTGCTAACAGCAGATCCCCAGTCTGCTAACAGCAGATCCCCAGTCTGCAGTATGAAATTAAATACAATTTACGGTTGGTGTTGTTACACTAGTCATCCAGTAAATAACATTACTTTATTTTATTCAGCTTTATGACAAACTTTATGTTACTGCAACTCATATATTTAGAGAAAACATGCCTTCCACCTTATTTCATGATAAAAAAAGTCACATTTAGAAGTAGGCTGCAACCCTCTAAGATTTGTTGGTTTGTGTGCAAAATCATAAAGTTGTGTGCAAATTTTTACAGCATCAATTTGTTTGTGCCAAAATTTTACAGCCTACAGACACAAACACACACTTAAGTGAGATTACTGCACAGCCGCGCAGCTTAAAGGGAACATTGGCTGCAGCTATTCGCACCCGGGTACCAGAAATAAGAGGTTTGGGATTAAAAATCTATTTAAAATACTATTGTTGGGTTTGTAAGACAAAATGAGGTATCAAATGAAAGATAATTGAATGGACTATATGTTTGTAAACTTAATTCTTCAGTTTAACTGACGTTAACAACCACAAATGACATCCAAATAGTATTGAGTCTAATGGGCTAAATGGGACCCAGGTCCGAATAGCGGCTATGCGTACCTGGGTACCTTTAGACTAAATCCCATTCAGATGTCATTTTGTGTTACCAACCCAAAAATAATATTTTAAATAGTTTTATAATCCCAACCTCTCACTTCTGATACCCGGTTGCGAATAGCCACTTCCATAGAAGTATTTAAAAAATGTTTTCACAATCTCCTTTGGAATTGAATATGAGCTCGTAGGGACTGCAGACTCTCTTACCAACGCACACACCCATACACCCCCTTCTCAGTTGTGAAACCCCAGTAATTATTATGTTTGCTAATTGACAGCCCAGTTTATGTGGACAAGGGAACAGATTTGGAAATAGTAGCGAGGAGATTGAGTTGGGGCAAGTTTTGTAACGCTGGTCAAACTTGCATCGCCCCGGACTATGTCATGTGTCCAAAGGACATCCAGGTAGGTAGGTGACGATAACATGGGTTATCAATCCTGGTCAGTGCTTGGACTTTGTGTAAACCATGTGACCTTGACCTTGTGTAAACCAGGTCATCGTCTTCCAGAAAGTTTGTAACTTAATAAAAAAAATTAAAGGTTAATTAGCTTGAGGATTTGTTGTGATTGGATGAGAAATCAGAGGTCCTCAACCTTTGCATTAAGTGAGGCCCACTTACGAGCCAAATTTATAATTATGGAAGCATTCATGACTTAGCTTTATTGTGGATGCATTCATGACTTAGCTTTATTGTGAATGCATTAATAGTGAAATAAGGGATGAATTGAGGGTAGCCGCTTGAGTAGATAGAGTGATAGACTGGTGTTGAGTCTCTTGAGTAGAGTGATAGACTGGTGTTGTTAGTTGAATATCTAGCATGTGTAATGGCTGGTTGGCCAAATTATTAACAATAATGCCCTGATTACTGTACTGTCTGATTACTGCACAGTCTGATTACTGTACGTCTCATTACTGTACAGTCTGATTACTGTACTGCCCTGGTTAATGTACTGTCTGATTATTGTACTGTCTGATTACTGCACAGTCTGATTACTGTACAGTCTGATTACTGTACAGTCTGATTACTGTACAGTCTGATTACTGTTCAGTCTGATTACTGTACAGTCTGATTACTGTACTGCCCTGATTACTGTACTGTCCTTATTACTGTACTCTCTGATTACTGCATTGTCCTGATTATGGCACTGATTACTGTACTGCCCTTATTACTGTACTCTCTGATTACTGCATTGTCCTGATTATGGCACTGATTACTGTACTGCCCTTATTACTGTACTCTCTGATTACTGCATTGTCCTGATTATGGCACTGATTACTGTACTGCCCTTATTACTGTACTCTCTGATTACTGCATTGTCCTGATTATGGCACTGATTACTGTACTGCCCTGATTACTGTACTGCCCTTATTACTGTACTCTCTGATTACTGCATTGTCCTGATTATGGCACTGATTACTGTACCGTCCTCATTATTTAAATACGCAATGACTTGATCCCCATTTTTAAGGCTTCTTTAGTTTCAAACTTTTGTCTAAACTCGTAATAACATCGTTCGTACGAACATACAACACATTTAATCTTTACAAACTTTGCTTACCTTAAAACATTGCCCATGTGACAACTTGGGACACAATATCAAAGCAGTTGTCCCAAGAAACTTTCTGGAAAGCCAGGAAAAAACAAACAAAACCGTTTCCAATGTCATGAAATTTATAAAAAAAATCTCCTAAATGACTTTGGTTTTGATTATCTTGCAGCGTCGTCATGGTAACAATGCTAACATTTTAAAGTGATAACCCCTATCCTATTGTTGACCTCCACAGGAAGGACTTGTTGAGAAAGTCAAGTCAGCCATTGAAGAGTTCTATACAAAAGATCCGAAATCATCCGATAGTTATGGGAGGATCATCAATGAGAGACATTTTCAGTAAGTTGTAAGTCAGTTTGTATGACAATCCCATATGTCAGTGTACATAACAATCCCAAATGTCAGTGTGCATGACATTGCCAAAAGTCAGTGTCCATGACATTCCCAAAAGTCAATGTGCATAACAATCCCAAAAGTCAGTGTGCATGACATTGCCAAAAGTCAGTGTCCATGACATTCCCAAAAGTCAGTGTACATAACAATCCCAAATGTCAGTGTGCATGACATTGCCAAAAGTCAGTGTCCATGACATTCCCAAAAGTCAGTGTGCATAACAATCCCAAAAGTCAGTGTCCATGACATTCCCAAAAGTCAGTGTTCATGACATTCCCAAAAGTCTGTTTATGACATTCTCAAAAGTCAGTGAGCATGACAATCACTTTTTACAAGATTACAAAAAAGTGTTGATCTGATCAAAAAAATGTTCTTCTTCTTTCTTTGACTTCTCTCTAGAATGAGTGTCTTAATAAATACATTGTAACTGAGTGTCTTCTTCTTCTTCTTCTTCTTCTATATCTTAAGGGCCCACGATCAATTTATTGATCATTTTGGCTCCTATGCATGTAGATAGGATTTGCAATGTTTCTGTTACTGGTGTTGAAGGGAAATCATGCACTAGGGGTTTGAAGGCTTGAGGCAATAGACACAAATGTGTCTAGTGTTGTCGCCTCAACCGTTTCCTTTGAAAGATTGTTCCAGTCCCTGATTGTCTTGGGCAGGAATGAGCAGCTCCTATACTGGCTTCTTGCTGGTATGAGCCTGAATTGCCTGTCATGGCCTCGTCGCTGTCTATGGGGGAGAGGGACGAGTTTCTGTTTAATACTGGAACAGTGGACCAGCCCAACTCCTATACTGGCTTCTTGCTGGTATGAGCCTGAATTGCCTGTCATGGCCTCGTCGCTGTCTATGGGGGAGAGGGACGAGTTTCTGTTTAATACTGGAACAGTGGACCAGCCCATTATTTATCTTATACATCATGTAGAGCCTGGATTGTCGTCGTCGTTTCTCCAATGGTGACCAGCCTAGTGTTTCTAGCATGCTGCCAACACAAGAGGTATTCCTGTAGCGGTTTAGGACAAAGTGTGCTGCTCGTCGCTGGACCGCCTCCAACCTGTCAATGCTCTTCTGGGTAAATGGGTCCCAGACTGAAGATGCATAATCTAAAATCGGACGGATAAAGGCTTTATATGCTCTTTCTTTCACACAGGAGTTGCCAATCTTTAGATTTCGCCTTAAGAACCCTTAATAAATACATCGTAACTGAGTGTCTTAATAAATACATTGTTTTATGAACATTCTCAAGATCTATTTTCTAGACACAATTTTTATACCAAGGCTTGGGGGATATTCCATTAAAAAAAACTGTCATCAGCAATTTTTGTTTTTTCAGAAATTACCATTATATTTTAAGTCCAGAGCATATTTTACCCCCCCTCCCCTCCCCCCTTTTTTTTTAATACTCCAAATGTTCAGCTTTCGTAGACATTTGAACATGAGCAGAAAAAGGAAATACAAACCTGGTGGTCTTTTACTAACAGTTTTATTGACTACTTTTGATTACAGGAGACTACAGAGACTAAAGAAAGGAGCCACTGCTGCCTATGAGGGGGAAGATGATGAGAAAGAACGTTATATTGCCCCTACAGTCATTCCCAATGTGAAACTGTCTGATCCAATCATGCAGGATGAGGTGCTCTTTAATTAGTTTTTTTTATTGTTTTAAAATGTATTTCTTAAAATGTTTTGTAACAGAAATGAGAAGATGGCTAGGAGAAAAAAAGATGAAGACCTACATCCTGCTACTACAGGTCAACACTGTGGTCATATAGTGGCACAACAGGTCAATATTGGGGTCACATAGTGGCACTACAGGTCATATAGTGGGATTACAGGCTAACAAAAACTGGTCATATACTACAGCACTATGGGTGCTGGGTGGCCGAGCGGTCTAAATTGTCTCAAACCAAATAGCTGGTGGTCTGGTCTTCAATCGCTACCAAAGCCCACAGCCCAAGCACCCTGGGTGGCTGGGACTCATTAGCCTTGGACGGCAGCCCATCTTAGAGAAGGCAAACTCTGGCTTCGAGTCAGTACCAAGCTCCCCGGGTGGATGGGACTCTTTTGCCTTGGACGGCAGCCCATCTTAGAGAAGGCAAACTCTGGCCTCCAGTCAGTACCAAACACCCTGGGTGGATGGGACTCGTTAGCCTTGAACGGCAGCCCATCTTAGAGAAGGCAAACTCTGGCTTCGAGTCAGTACATTCTCACTATGTGGCTTCACATCATTTTGTTTAGTGCTGCATTATCAATTAAAAATACAATACTGAAAGCTTAGTGTTATCATTGACTTCATGTTTCCACTTTTTATTATTTTAAACAAAACCAGATATTTGGGCCACTTATGCCAATTGTGCCAGTAACTGACCACAAGGAAGCAATTGAAATCATCAATGGTCGGTGAGTTATAAATTGTTGTGGGAATTTTTGTATTTAAGTCACTCACAAAAGGGAAAGCATACTGTGGAGAATGTGGAGAATGTGGAGAAACTTGGGTAGTGTGGGTGGGTGGAGAATTCCCACAGGTACAAAGACCAGACACTGACCACCAGTTGTGTAGAAGACCAGACACTGACCACCAGTTGTGTAGAAGACCAGACACTGACCACCAGTTGTGTAGAAGACCAGACACTGACCACCAGTTGTGTAGAAGACCAGACACTGACCACCAGTTGTGTAGAAGACCAGACACTGACCACCAGTTGTGTAGAAGACCAGACACTGACCACCAGTTGTGTAGTTTCAGATTTAGACCAGGACAAGGCTAGCGTGACTGTGACAGTGATAGTATCAGACCTGGTTACCTTTGAAATCCCAAAATAATGCAGTATTGTTTCAGAATAGCACTTAACCGTCTCAAAATCATGGAATACAGAGTTGTTATATTAAAGAAATAACATACATTTAGTGAGGGGTATCTCTCGTATGAGATCTCCTCTTGGCACTCTGTCTAGGGATTCGTTAATTAAGCCAAATTACCACACAGACATAATAACCTATCTATTTACATTTAGTATAGACTGAAAGGAAGTCTTTGTTAAATGAGAAAAATAACTCCAAGTATTTATTGAATAATAATATTTACAAATTTCTCCGTAATACACTCTTGGTGATTAATATATAAACATCAAATGGATGTCATTCAATTAGAAAAGTATATCAACGCAATGCAAGTGTCCCTAACATACTGACGGTATCATCATTATTAATGCTATATTGCTCAAGGTTCTATGCTCAATCTTTGTGGACTTAGCCTTTATAGTTCCAGTGATGATCTCAGTGGATCATACAGTGGGGGAGTCCCTTCTGTTCCAGAAGCGTGTCCCTGTTCCGGTCTTCGGAGCTGTTCCAAGCATAGCGAAGTTGGAGTTTCCGGTCGTAGATTCCGTGGGATCTCTGTGATGGGGAAGATGACTCTCCAGCGATAAATCGTGGTAGTGAGAGTCCCTGGATCTCGAAGTCCTTCTAGTAGCTGTCAGGTAGTTTGGTGTAGGACGTTGATCAATCCCCTAGTTCCAGCTTCAAGGTAAGTCGGTCCAGTAATAGAAACCAGGCTAAAGGCAAATGATACAAAAATGGATAAGTATCCAGGCAAATAGTGATAAGCTGCTAAGTCCCATTCCAACAGCAACGAATTCAGATCGATGTATGGAAGGTGACATAGCTTGTGCATATACATCCAATTTGTGGATGGATTTATAAGTCTGATCATTGTCGGCGTAAGCATGTTGCTTTGCGACTATGTTGGACCAAGCAAGCATTTTAATTAATGAAGTATGGGACATTGTATCATTGAATCCACTAAACTTATAGGTACATAATATTCAAATTTTCTTCTCGTTAAAAGAGACATGGGCGATTTGGAACATGCTTTCATGCTTTGGCGTGAGCTTTCTGGTGTAGAAATGCAATAACAACAAGGGACGCTACTCTGCTTTGCTGCCTCCAGGGCAAAAATGAGGGGATAATGGTATTATTTTCTCAAGGTTCATCGGTGAGAGAGGTTGAACACAAAATCCACACTTTTGGGGTGAGCGGTCTGATGTAGGAATGCGATAACACCACGGGAAGTCACTCTGGCCATCCTACTGTGGCAACTTGAGGGGAAGGAACGGTATTATTTTCCAAGGGTTTCCAAGGCTGGATTTACGGTGGAAGAATTTTACAAAGTCAAGCCTCAGATCGTCACATGCCTTGAGCTGGGTGCTTTGAGTCAAATACCTTGCGACGCTCAGCAAGGAGTGAAAAAGCTAGATTGGAAACTGAATGAAATAATTGAGGGCTTTGAATTACAGCATTGACTTTCAGTTGAAAAATTTTGTTATAAATACATTTGGCAATAACCTCAAAGTTGTGATCTGGCAGGAAGTTTTACTACTTGCTCATACTTTTTCTATCTTCCATGGAACTTGGCTGAAGAAACATTTCCACGGAACTTGGCTGAAGAAACATTTCCATGGAACTTGGCTGAAGAAACATTTCCATGGAACTTGGCTGAAGAAACATTTCCATGGAACTTGGCTGAAGAAACATTTCCATGGAAGTTGGCTGAAGAAACATTTCCATGGAAGTTGGCTGATGAAAAATATCATTGATGGAACTTTGCTGATGAAACATTGATTCATTTTCAGAAGAATTAATGATAATGTTAAAAATCATGTATCAATTATTACATCATCTTTGTCTCATCTCAACAAAATAATGCACAATTAAAGTTGGGAACTGACATATTCTCTTACTATGGCTTGAAGATCTCTTGTGCTAGACCTATGTCTGCATAAGTTGAATCCATTGCTTCCACTTTACCAGGTAAATGAAGACTTAAGTGGCACTTTGAAACAGAAGGTCAGCAGATATGAAAAGGATACATTTTACAGAGGGTGCAGTTAGAAAGGCATACAAATTGCAAACCATTTAAAAAAGATGAATATGCTTCAATGATGAAGTGTAGTGTGCCTACATCATTTTATCTTACCACAGTTGTAATTCTTTGAGATACTAAAACATATTTTACCTCCACTCAAATGTTTTATCTGACCACAGTTGTAATTCTTTGAGATACTAAAACATATTTTACCTCCACTCAAATGTTTTATCTGACCACAGTTGTAATTCTTTGAAATACTAAAACATATTTTACCTCCACTCAAATGTTTTATCTGACCACAGTTGTAATTCTTTGAAATACTAAAACATATTTTACCTCCACTCAAATGTTTTATCTGACCACAGTTGTAATTCTTTGAAATACTAAAACATATTTTACCTCCACTCAAATGTTTTATCTGACCACAGTTGTAATTCTTTGAGATACTAAAACATATTTTACCTCCATTCAAATGGGGCTCCAGCATCTGTGTCCAAGAATATTAATGATCTGTGTTTCATGTGGATTGTTTTATCATTTTATTGTTTATCAATCTTCAAGTAAATCTTATAACAAACAAGTTACTCTGTGTGAATTCTGGACCAGAGTCTCTATAGATCATTAAATCAAATAATTGTTGAGCAGTTCTTGGAGTAAGTACTAAACAAGTTTATTTATGGCCAGATATTACAAACAATTTTTTAAACGTTTAGATTAGTAAAAAAAAAAATTTTTTTTAATGTCCTGGAATTTTGTATTTTCTCATGAAAAGGTCTTGGAATTTTTTTGTTTAGATTTGATGCAGAAACCAGGTATAAATGAGAAATTCAGTTTTCTCCATTTTCGTAATCATGGTTCAGCAAAAAGTATGAAATAATTATGTCACAACCTTTCATCATACACTGACATACAGCACCAAAGCAAACCAAAGCAGTGTTGATTCATGTGTCACTAGGGCTACTACAGTAAAACTACTGTTGCTGTATCTAACGAGTTCATTGTGAAAGCACAAAGCAACAATATAATTTTCATGAAAATTGGCGGTTTTATTTTATAGCCTTTACAAATATTACCTTTACCCCTCTCCCATGCACACCCGTATACAACCCCTCCTCTCCCCTCTCAGTGCGTACATAAAATAATTATGGATTTCTCTCTCCATTATTCACTTCCTGATATAGAAAGGAGCTAAAACTAAGAACAGATTTATTATTTTTAAAAAATGTTAAGAAGTTCTGACAGGTCTCGCCCAGTTATCAAAAGCATCTAAAAATCATTCATTGTGCTTCTAACTAAATCGTAAGAGTAACCCGATCTGTAGGATAGTTTTAAAAGAAAGGCATTAAAATGCAGAGGCTGGTGGCTATTTAGTGAGAAATGTACACATAGTAGTGACAGAGGGAAAAGTTCTTAGCACAGATGTGGAAATAGAAAGTTCATGGAGGAAATCTGTAAAGTTGCCGCAACCAATTTGGGGGCTAATAAAAGGGGACTGTTAGTGGGGACTAAAATTGAAACTTGGTCAGAGAGCAAAGGACAGTCAGGGGAGAACTCAGCCGGAGAGCATTAGAGTACAAACCCACTTGGACAGTAGATTGAGACGAGCTGTGACAGCCAGAGTTAAGTACTAGAGACATGAGTGTGAATTGTAGTAGCAGAGAAATAAAGAGAAAGACTAACAAACCATTGACATGTTGTTACCTGATTTTTGCAGGAAGACGGTGAACGAGTGGCAGAGTGAATGAGTGACTGACAGGGGGAACAATTAGCCATGGTGAACGAGTGACTGACAGGGGGAATGAGTGGACAGAGTGAACGATTGGAAAGGGTGGATGAGTGGCAGAGGTTATCATCCAAACTAAAGTATTAGCAGAAACAGAACTAGAGTAAAGGTTCTCTTCAATATAAATATATCATAGAGGTTCTCTTCAATATAAATATATCATAGAGGTTCTCTTCAATATAAATATATCGTAGAGGTGCTCTTCAATATAAATATATCGTAGAGGTGCTCTTCAATATAAATATATCGTAGAGGTTCTCTTCAATATAAATATATCGTAGAGGTTCTCTTCAATATAAATATATCGTAGAGGTTCTCTTCAATATGAATATATCATAGAGGTTCTCTTCAATATAAATATATCGTAGAGGTTCTCTTCAATATAAATATATCATAGAGGTGCTCTTCAATATAAATATATCATAGAGGTGCTCTTCAATATAAATATATCATAGAGGTGCTCTTCAATATAAATATATCATAGAGGTGCTCTTCAATATAAATATATCATAGAGGTGCTCTTCAATATAAATATATCATAGAGGTTCTCTTCAATATAAATATATCACAGAGGTTCTCTTCAATATAAATATATCACAGAGGTTCTCTTCAATATAAATATATCACAGAGGTTCTCTTCAATATAAATATGTCACAGAGGTTCTCTTCAATATAAATATGTCACAGAGGTTCTCTTCAATATAAATATGTCACAGAGGTTCTCTTCAATATAAATATGTCACAGAGGTTCTCTTCAATATAAATATGTCACAGAGGTTCTCTTCAATATAAATATGTCACAGAGGTTCTCTTCAATATAAATATGTCACAGAGGTTCTCTTCAATATAAATATGTCACAGAGGTTCTCTTCAATATAAATATGTCACAGAGGTTCTCTTCAATATAAATATGTCACAGAGGTTCTCTTCAATATAAATATGTCACAGAGGTTCTCTTCAATATAAATATGTCACAGAGGTTCTCTTCAATATAAATATGTCACAGAGGTTCTCTTCAATATAAATATATCACAGAGGTTCTCTTCAATATAAATATATCACAGAGGTTCTCTTCAATATAAATATATCACAGAGGTTCTCTTCAATATAAATATATCACAGAGGTTCTCTTCAATATAAATATATCACAGAGGTTCTCTTCAATATAAATATATCACAGAGGTTCTCTTCAATATAAATATATCACAGAGGTTCTCTTCAATATAAATATATCACAGAGGTTCTCTTCAATATAAATATATCACAGAGGTTCTCTTCAATATAAATATATCACAGAGGTTCTCTTCAATATAAATATATCACAGAGGTTCTCTTCAATATAAATATATCATAGAAAGAAAACTGCTTGAAAATCATGAGCATCTTTGTAAGACTATCAATATCATTGTGGTAGTGTTTTAGCATTAGAAAAATATTGCCATGCATCAGCTTGTGTTTTGACCTTAAAGTAGTCATAACTCTTTGAGAAATGTTTTTTTTTGTGTGTTATATTATACAGCTCAAATATCACATCTGTTTTTGTGTGTGTAATGTTTCAGTTTACTAATACAACTGATCAATAGATATTGTTCTGAGTAAAAGAAAACCTTAACTATATCAATTACTACACATTTTTAAGATCTCTTTAATAGATCATTCAGATTACTTAAGAACATGAATTTGTTGACAAGTCTGCCCTCTTCTGTCTTTCAGTGAAAAGCCGCTGTCATTATATGTGTTCACCAACAACAAAAGTATTGGTCAAGAGTTCAGGGACCGAACCAGCAGTGGTGCTCTTCTCATTAATGACACAGTCGTTCATGCAGGCTGTACGTTTAGATTTGTAATAATCCTTGGTCTTAAGAGGCTTCAGATCATTTATGTCAAAACCAACAAAACTAGGTCTAAAAATAAGTTATGCAAATATGAGGAGGGCTTGTAGGCTTCTTATGTATGTCATTATTGGACTTCTTGGTGAACTAAGGGAACTTATGTGATTGGACTTTAGGATGTACATATCTTTTTACTTCATAATTATCCTATTGCTCATATAATCCTGTTGTGGATGTTATGGGGAATGTACTTTAAATGTATCCCCTGCATCTGTTATAGCTGGCACTTGGGTTCAGAAATAGGTCAAGTTTTGTCTAATCTAAAGATTATTTTAAAGCACAATTTTTTTTGGTTAATTATTCTGGTTATAAAATCTTTATGCTTCATTTGAATGCTACATTGCAGTGGTTGTCCAGGTAAATCCTGGTTGTAGACCTCCCAAGTATCACATAGATCACAATGGCCTGCCACTTAGACCTCCCAAGTATCACATAGTTCACAATGGCCTGCCACTTAGACCTCCCAAGTATCACATAGCTCACAATGGCCTGCCACTTAGACCTCCCAAGTATCACATAGTTCACAATGGCCTGCCACTTAGACCTCCCAAGTATCACATAGTTCACAATGGCCTGCCACTTAGACCTCCCAAGTATCACATAGTTCACAATGGCCTGCCACTTAGACCTCCCAAGTATCACATAGCTCACAATGGCCTGCCACTTAGACCTCCCAAGTATCACATAGTTCACAATGGCCTGCCACTTAGACCTCCCAAGTATCACATAGTTCACAATGGCCTGCCACTTAGACCTCCCAAGTATCACATAGTTCACAATGGCCTGCCACTTAGACCTCCCAAGTATCACATAGGTTCACAATGGCCTGCCACTTAGACCTCCCAAGTATCACATAGTTCACAATGGCCTGCCACTTAGACCTCCCAAGTATCACATAGTTCACAATGGCCTGCCACTTAGACCTCCCAAGTATCACATAGTTCATAATGGCCTTCTACTTATATCAGTGGGTCCCACCTCCTTGTTTAAAAAGAAATATTCCCATTTATTGACATAATACCACAGTTGATCAAACTCAATACTTTGTTTAAAATTCAGACAAAATGTTTACAAAGATGTTTTCAATCTAGAATTGTTTTGTGAGAAGACTGAGATTACTGACACAGTTGTATACAATTTATAAACAACTTCCTGTGTTTATTTCAGTGACTACTCTTCCATTTGGGGGTGTGGGCAACAGTGGTATCGGCTCCTATCATGGTAAACATTCCTTCAATGCCTTCAGCCATGATAAACCAGTGATGGAGAAATCCTTGGCACTGGACCAGGTCAACAGGTGCGTTTTTTAAGGCCAGGATAATTGTGGTTGTAAAATGTCAAATGAAATGTTTAAAAAATCATTAAAATTATGATCTATTAATACTTTAAAAAAAAACCAAGATCAATTTTATGGATTTCAATAACTCAATTTTCTGCCACATCTTACCCACTGCCACCCAACTGTCAATTTCTCTCTGCATCCCTGACCTCCGACCTTTACTCCAGCCAAATCTTTTATTTCACCTTTACATTTAGTCAGCTGTGTTAAACTAAGCCACTGCCGCAGGTGTAATTACCTCAAAGGTAATGTCCACATTTAAACGTTCACCACATTAAGTTGGCAGATACAAGAAATAAACCAGGGTTATCATTTTATCATTGCAGCATGCGGTATCCACCTTACACTGAGAAGAAGCTTGGCTGGGTCAAATGGCTCATGGCCAAGAAGGTCAAGAGACAAGGATTTTTTTCCTTCATGCCTTTTATTGCTATTGGAGTCATCATTTCAATGATGTTCAAAGTAAGTTGGTTTTTTATTTTTGAGTTGGCGCTCTGAGTTTTTGTTGGAATTAGGGACTTTTAAGTCTTAAAAATAGTCACATTCAAATCCTGACAGTTCTAGTGAAGCAAACAATTATTGTTCAATTCAATTTCCTACTTATTTGGTCTATGCAGATCACTTTTAGAAAACATACAACTATTTCCCCATTATGATAACGGTGAATTAAAATTTTTTGTTAACTTCATCACTAGCTAACATAAATGTATGAAGAAAAATTTGTTATGCAATATCATGTGGTACTAAAAAAATATTGCCAAATTCAACTTTTAATAAAAAAATCTTTTTGCGCAAGTCACCCTGGATTAGAGCAAAGTCAGCAAGTTTCTATTTACTCTCTGAGTAACATGTACTCAGCTTGTCTTATATCATGATGGAGCATTCATGGCTGAGCCACACAGATACGTTTAGGGCTGGATAGACCCTCTACTCAGCCTGAAGGTGTTTCTGTGTAACAAACTCTGCTTTTCTTTAGCAGTTTTGTTATATATAACTATGGGCGCCTTTATTTGCTTGCCCAGGGTGCTCTAAGGCCTTCATCTTGCCCCGTGTACAACTGTTATAGCTAATTACTTAAAAAAGCCTTTTAAAAAAAAATTTTTTATTCGGGTCGGGATCTCTGACGATTTGATTTGGCGTTAGCCATTTCACTTTTTTTGAGCTGGCATAAATAAATTTGAACTCAATATTTTATGTTCTTGAATAGTCAACATGGGTTTAATCCCCTCTAATTCTATATTATCACTTTTGAATTTCAATAATTTATAACTATGACAAGGAAAAGGCTGGCGGCTAAATAGGCCTGCCGCGAAAAGGCAGATGGAGAAATGTCCCATCTGGGAAAAAGTGTCTGCAAAAAGATCCCATACCCTTGGGGGTTGTGGGTCACTTTTGCCATTCCCTTGGGGGTTGTGGGTCACTTTTTGGGGGTTGTGGGTCACTTTTTGGGGGTTGTGGGTCACTGTTTGGGGGTGGTGGGTGCTGATATAAAATAAGGTTGTGAGTCTGTGGTCACAAGAGTCTACAAGATTGAATTAAGGGGAGATTAATATAGGAGGCTGTGTGGGCCAGTGGGGTTGTGTTCCTTGAATGTATAGGTTTGAAAAAGATTGGTATTAAGGCTGGTGATGATTTTCAAAGACTTTCTTTCTACCCACAAATCTGTCAGATTTTCTTGTCCGTATCTTCAGCGTAATTGGTTGTTTTCAGTTGTAAAAGCATTTTCCCTTGTCAAACGGCTAAAAATTCTTTATCGCACACAACATTAAATTGGTTATTTGTAATTCAAAAATCTTGTTAGGTACCCGAAAATTTATGTTTTGTCTAAACTTGTGTTATTTCATTTATACATGTAACAAAATCTTAATTGTCTTCTGTCATTTACATAATTTATCCCATTTTAAAGATTTGCAAATTGATCACATTATTATCTCCCCTTTTTGTTCACATCCCGTGTTGTGACTTTCTTTCCACCCACAAAGCCCTCAGATTTTCTTGTCCTTATATCCAGCGTAATTTGTATTGTCCCCACGTGACCCTCTCAGCCTGTGACGCAGATGCCCCTGCCCTGTGATGACCTTCAAAGTCAGCTGAAGCAGGTGTCTACCAGTAGTGTAACATGACGTAACACCCTCCTTAATTCTCAGCTGATAATGGCATTGGTTGCCAAACAAATGTCTTGTCACAAGTAATACTCATCTCTGCTAGTTTGTACCCATATGACCCTCTCGTCCCGTGTCAGCGACACAGATGCGGCTACCCTGTGGTGACCTTCAATTTAAGTTGAAGCAAACCATAGTAAAACACCCCAAATATATTCACATCTCAGTAAATGTGGGCAAGAAAAAAAAGATGTTTAAGGTTCTTCTACCTTTAATTCAAATCCTTTGGCTTCATTCAGTGTACTACCTTCGGCTGCATTCAGTGTCCTACCTTTGGCTGCATTCAGTGTCCTACCTTTGGCTTCATTCAGTGTCCTACCTTTGGCTGCATTCAGTGTCCTACCTTTGGCTTCATTCAGTGTCCTACCTTTGGCTGCATTCAGTGTCCTACCTTTGGCTTCATTCAGTGTCCTACCTTTGGCTTCATTCAGTGTCCTACCTTTGGCTTCATTCAGTGTCCTATCTTTGCCTGCATTCAGTGTTCTACCTTTGTCTTCATTCAGTGTCCTACCTTTGGCTTCATTCAGTGTCTTCCTTTGGCTGCATTCAGTGTCCTTCCTTCGGCTTCATTCAGTGTCCTACCTTTGGCTTCATTCAGTGTCCTACCTTTTGCTTCATTCAGTGTCCTTCCTTTGGTTTCATTCAGTGTCCTACCTTTGGCTGCATTCAGTGTCCTACCTTTGGCTTCATTCAGTGTCCTACCTTTGGCTTCATTCAGTGTCCTACCTGTTGCTGCATTCAGTGTCCTACCTTTGGCTTCATTCAGTGTCCTACTCCCCTTCCTGCCAGACTTTGCCCTCCTTATTGTTTGATGCTTTGATCTATAGATCCCAAAAAAGCTGATTCGTGTTTATTTTTCAGATTGTTGGAGTGGGAGCCGAGACCCTTGAACAGAAAAAGAACATGTGAAGTGTTTTATAAGAAACTGTTGACTACATGATAAAAGACCAATTCTTTTGTTGTTAGAGCCAAACTTTGTTTTCACAAAATGTGATTGACCTCTGTGTAGTAATATTATTACATTGAGGGGCATGCCCTACTTAGCACATACATGTTACATACACTTGTAACATACACTTGTATGTAAATGTTTCTGGTGTACTTTTAAAGAAGTAATTCTAAAAACTTTTATTGTGATGGAAATAGCTCTTTATATAATCATTACTGTTTGCCCATCATTCTTTGTTGAAATTATTTTTAAATTTTCTGTTTAATTTTTTAAATTATGTTTGAGACCCACAACCCATATAGTGGTTTCCCGTTAGACATAGTATAATTATAGACTTTAAGAAAAATATTTCACAGCCTCATTTATGTTAATGACAAGCCTTATCAAAAACAACTGTTATCAAAAACAACTGTTATTTATCTATCAAATATAATTGTTCTTCACTGACTGTGTTTTACGTTAAAATTAAAAACAACCATAATGTCCTCAGCGCTCATGACATATAGCAAAAAACTGTGCCTCTGTTTTTTTAAACTGATTTAATATATCTTTAAAAAACCATATGTACATACTAACTCTAGCCCCAGCATGAACAATTCATATTGTCATATTGTCAAAGTGTACATTTATTTGTGGCTTAATTGATAAGGAACTCTTGAAGTCTGACACCCACTAACCTATTCAAAGAAATTTAGAAATTAAAATGACATTGTTAAATTATGTGCATTAGCTTTACAGGTAAAATTAATTTTTGAATTTTGTTTTTGCATGTCAAGTCCTTTTCTAATTGATGACAAATGAATATGATTTGCTTTTGACCATTTTATAATCGTCACCTATGGCTTAGGTCAAGGTTTCAGGACGGACAGCTTAATGTGACTAAGTTTTTAAAATGTTGCCTGTGAGAAGGGTTCCTACTCCAAGACATGCAGACTTTGTAGTCACACCAGCAAGTAACAGAGGGTTAATTATCACAAGTCCCAATGGAAGTCCCATGCATTGTCTGAGTTTCACATCATTACTGGACACTTGAACTTAAAAATTTATTTTTACTGCAATTCGTCCATTGAAAACAATTATTATAGCCCTCTTACTCACCTTGCTTAAGTTCTTCTTGTACAATTTTTTTTTTTTTTTTTCTTCTTGTGTTTTTTAGAACTCTGGTGTTAATGTTTTTTTTTTTTTTTTTTTTTATTTGGCTTTTTGAAATCTTTTTTCTTTTTTTTTTTTTTTTTTTTTTTTTTTTTTTTTTTTTTTTAAAACTTTGGTGTTAATGTTTTTTTTTTTTTTTTTTTTTTAACTGGCATTTTGAAATCCTTTTACATTTTTTTACAGTTTTTCTTTTCATGAATTATTATTAAAATAATTATATCTTTGTTGAGGCAATGTTGTGTCATTGTTTTATCGGCTCTGTTTCCTTTGTTTTTGAGTATGATTTTTTTTTCCACAGTCGCTTTGTATTATAATAATAATATTAATAAAGCTGTTTCTTCAAAATAATTTTTTTTTTTGTTTGATCTGAAATTGAAATCGCTGAATTATTTTATTATATATATCACTGATTTATTTGTTGGTACATATCACTGATTTATTCGATGTTACAGATCACTGAATTATTCGATGGTACAGATCACTGATTTATTTGATAGTACAGATCACTGATGTATTTGATGGTACAGATCACTGATTTATTCAATGGTACATATCACTGATTTATTAGATGGTACAGATCAATGATCTATTCGATGGCACAGATCACTGATTTAATAAAGAATATAAACACCAAATAAACGATGTAAAAAATTATTTTTTTAATTAATGCTTAAAATTATCAGATAACGTATCTACTCCTTTTACCAATATATAAATAAATTCTATAGATTTATCTTCAAATATAGCACTTTAATATCTTTAATATATTTTATACACTATACACAGCATATTGTTGATTTAAAAAAGGTGTACCTCTTTACCACTTTGATCTACAAAGTGGGGTAAGGGAGTGAAAATTAAGGATGCCCACCAAAGTCTGCAGAGTTTACTGGGGAGGGTGCTGAGCCCCCTGTTCCTGAATTTTTTTTGATAATTTCAAAATCGGATTATGCATTTTGGCACATACCAGAATTTAGTGGAAATTTAATTTCCATTTACCTGGTATTTTCAAAAAAAATAATTCTTAAATTCTTAAATTTTATTAGACCGTATATACCAGAAGAGGTATTGTTTAAAAAAAAATATATTTGAGATTACAAATTTGCTTTTTAAATTTTTTTTACGTATTTAAAAAAAATTTTTTAATCGGTCCAAAAGAGGGGCTTGTATATGGAAAAGGTGCCTACCATGCAAAAAAGATTTACCATACATATATTGTGTGGTTTTTTTTTGCCAAGAATGACAACAATCGCTAATTTAATGAATAAATAATATCATTTGCGATACTGCTGGCAGGCCACATTTTTTAACACTGTGTGCCGCATGGCCACCCCTGGTACAGACCTTCAAACATCATTCATCCAGGTTTTTTATGTCTTGTTTTCACTCATAATTTAAATGAGTCAATGAGAGTGGATCACATTCATTTCTGAATCCTTGTGCCTTCAATCATATCCTGCCTCTGCCATTTGTTAAAATTTTTAAATGCATTTACTTTTAGAGGTCAAGTATCTATACCCAATAAAAAAATTCCTCTTTAAGTAAAGAAGTAAGTATCTGTTCTATTAGAAGTATATTTTCTATTAGAAGGAAGTGTCTACACTATATTATAATCAAGTTCTCCCTTTCCTTTGTTGGGTTCACTAAACTTGATGGAGTTTGAGAGGATGCTGGGAATGCTTGGAATCATGTGCTTTTTTCTTTATCTCAAAAATAAAAGCAAAATAAATCTACTCATTCAAAAAGAATGATTTAAATATTTATGCATTTAAAAAAGAATTGTAATCTTGCATTTATTATTTAATTAATTTAGCCATGTTGCATGTGGGAAATATAATTGAGACAGAACAATGCCGATATCCAGTTCAAATAACCATGGCAGAAAAAATTCAACTGCATGAGGAATATAAAAATGACCTGAATTAAATAGTAAACCCGAAAAAAAAAAAATTTAAATGCAATTTTGGCCTACTACTGAGTGTTTTGGGGGGATGGGGGAGGCTAAAATGTTGTGTGTGCTACGCCACTCTCACTAATATGTACTTCATGGAGATTTTAAAGCGCCCCTGTCGTCCTACTATTTATTTTAAGACTACATCACTGGATAAATTGAATATATTTATTTCTTTATAGTTTGTTACGGCATAATTAAACAGCCACCTTCACCTCCTTTTACACATCCATGATAACCCCATGGCACCCTGCGTAGCGTAATATTTGTTTTAAAGTTCACTTTACTAAAATAGATGAATTTCTGTTACATTTATTAAATCACTTGAATCAATCTAGTACATAGATTGTTTTATATATTTTATTTGTTGATTTGAATGAGACTTTTCATTAGCATGTTAGAAGTTTTTACTGTCACAATAATATAAAATTTTAAAGTTACTGCCCCAGCAAAACTATGACTATGAATAAAAGCCCATTTCAAAGATTAAAAATGCAATGGATAATTAGTAGAATAAAGCATATAGATATTTAAAATGTTGTTATTACAAATTTTAACTGTCTGGACTTTCACACTATAATCTAATAAATTAGTAAAAAGCTTTTTATTTTTAAAGTTCGAAATAATTGAAAGAAGTCAGTGAAAATGATCAATCAACAGGGTAAGTCACTCTTGTTGTTTATTAAGAAGACAAAAAATGGCCGACGAATGCCAAGAAAGCCTTGTTCAAGAATTTGTTAGTGTTACTGGTGTGGACGCCAGTAGAGCTCGATTCTATTTAGATTCTTCAGCATGGAATCTCGAGGTGAGAAAACATAAAATGTCCAAAAATATATTATTGTTTGGGAGTTGTTCACAATAATTCAGAGTAAGCCTTCGTCAACGTCAAGTGAGATTTCACAAAGGTTTAAAGATAAATTCTATGGGGGGAAAAATGATGAATCATACCACAACTTTTTTCGGAGCAGTATTTTAAATAATATTAAGCTGGGAATTTTCTTTTGTGTTTGTGAAATTTAGCTTTCAATTAAATAAGTCACTATAAAAAGAATAATATGCCATGGCCATAGGCTTTATTTAATTATAATATAGGTACTAAGGACTAAGGTACTTTCTTACACTTACTTTGATTAACTTTGGTATACAATTTTTTTAAAAGTAGTAGGCCCTACATTATAATAGATTAAAATTTAAATGAAAAAAAAAATCGATTTTGTCTTTAGTAATTTCTGAGCTATCATTTTTCAAAGTATGACTTCGTTGTCCTTTTTTAACATGGTCTGCATCTCCATATTCCGTGCCCATTTTTCAACTCACAAGCATTAACTCTCATTTTAATGATATTTTTTTTACCCATTTTTTTTTTTCAGAATTAATACTGTAATTTTAATCATGTAATGCAGTTAGAAATAAATTGTAACTTATCTAACTATACACAATATATGTTACGGGCAATGTGAATAATTGGGCATTATTCATAATGCTTGGTCATTATAAATACTGCATTTATTTACACTGGTCACTTTAATTAATTGTATATCAAGATAATTTAATTAAATTTATTCAACTTCAACCTCTTAAAATCAAAAGAACTGAAGAAGTAGCTTATGTCCTTTTGGATATTTTAACAATTTTTGGTGCGCCTACTATTTTGCAAAGTGATAAATGGAGAGAATTTGCTAACAATACTACTAACGAACTATGTAGCATGTGGCCCAGAGTTAAAGATGGTACATGGGAAGCCCAGACACTCTCAAAGTCAGGGCTCCGTAGAACGTGCTAATCAGGAAGTGGAAAATATGCTTTGTTCTTGGCTGGAAGACAATAACAGCAGAAAATGGTCAGAAGGCTTACGTTTTGTTCAGATTATGAAGAACAGAGCTCATCATAGTGGCATAAACTGTACTCCGTATGAGACCATGTTTGGAACAAAGTTAACAGTTTCTCTAAAAAAATTTCTACCTGCAGACGTTCTGCCTAATATAAATTGTGAAGAGGACTTAGAAGTAATAGTAAAAGATCAAAACAATTTACATTCTGTAGAAGAAGGTCCACTGCAAAATGAACCAGGGTCAAATTCTTTAGCGGAGCTAGGTCCAAGTCAACATAACGAAGAGGAACTGTCTTCTATTGACAGTTATGTTCAACCTGCAACTTCGTTATCTGAACCAATTTCTGATTTCCATAACAACGAAAGAGAAATAAATGTCTCCGAGCCATCTCATATTCAAGTCTCCTGTCTGAGAGACAGGTCGTTGCCTTGGGGACCGGTTCAGAGAACACCTCTATAACATAAATAAACAATCTCTCCGTCCGGTCTCCAAACATTTCAATAGCCCTAACCATGATGGTATCTCAGACATCGCAGTTACTGGTATATTGTATACTAGTAGCACAACAGATAGGATATACATGGAAAATAAATTAATAAGACGATTTGGTGTGTTGTCTCCATATGTAATAAACCAAATCCACAATTTTACCTAACTGCCATGTCTTTTTCCTGTTTGGTTTTTACAGTTTTGCTCAAATCACTTCCTTTAGACTTTTCTTCACTTGGCTTCTGTCTGTTTTTATTCGCCCACTCCTATTTTTTCTCCCCCTTTTTTAGGGAGGATATCTGTATATATATATATATTATGTAAATTTAATTTATACTTTTTGTTGTGCTGATGAAGGCATGTGCCGAAACGTATACTTTTGTATTCTGTAAAATTATTATTAAAGCTTACCTTATATTGACACAAATTGTTGTTGTCTAATTAATCTATTTTAAAGCTTTATGGCAGTCCAACACTTTTTATAATTAGTTAATTATTACTATAAAACTGTTTAGGTTTTTACTTAGTTTGAAGTTGCAACTTTGGTACTTGATTAATTAATTAGCTTTCCCTGACCAATGGTTTAATAGTTTTTGCCCACAGCAAACTCTTCTGAATGAAACTCTGACATAGTACTATGGTATAGCCATTCATTATGCAAGTGGCTTTGAATGGTTGCCCATGAAAATGTTTTGCACACTGAAAATTATGATCATTTATAATATGGACTCTACCAGGTTTTAAAATCTCAAATTAAAATATTCTTGTTTAAATTACTTCTAAGTTCATTCTTAAACACAATTTATCAAATATTTTGATGTAAATTGAAAATTTATTAAGTATCAGTATCTTCTGCCTTTAAAAAGAGGATGTGGGCTATGCCATTGTCAAAATTGGGCTAAGTGACCTTATGATAATGCAGGTTACTGGGACAAATAAGGTTTTTGACACCTCTTGCCACAAAGGTAGAGGGATACAATAAGTTGCTACATTTGCTTGTAAATTAATGTACTGGCTGAAATTATTTGATTAAATTTTAACGTTTTGTTTTATATTTTCGTTTCTCTTGGTAAGTAGCTAAAACAG